ATTCAACAATTATATTATATTAACCTTTTTGGATGACATTGGATGAAATTGGATGAAGTTGTGGATGAAACCTAAATTCATCCACATGTCATCCACGCTTTTAATTCAACAATTATATTATATTAACCATAGTATCCAAGGTTGGTATTAATATTCAATGCTGTCCCGTAAGTCTTAAGTATTCCAATATACGTAGTACTACGTATTAATATGTAGTATTACGAGATTAATATATTATTCATTATCCCTGACAATTGGTGGTACTACGTATTAATAGTATAAATATATTAATATATTATTGATGATGATCCCTGACAATTGGTGATTATAGTATAACCACCAATTGTCATTGTGGATTGTTGTACGACCTCTGAAATCTGACTTTTACTTAGTAGGTGGACATCTGGTCATTTGGAGTGCTCATGTACGACTTATCAGTCGGTACGCCGCCACTTGAAGCCACAGATACCACATCTACATACAACCGCATTCGATCGGTGGATTTGCGATGTCCACCGCATATTTCCATCAATGCGTGAGATTTACTCCATATCAAAGACCCGGCCCATTGCCTGCCGTTGGAGTTCATTCTCAAGCACCCGTGGATTATACCACAAACGCCATTACGCCTTAATATTGTTAAGATAAATATATATTCGCAAAAAAGTTAAATTATGTACTAACTACCATGGCGTGCCATGGGCTCCAATTCGTGGCCGAGTCGACGGCGCAAGTCCTCCATGGCAGTGTCCCACGAAACCTTGTGGGACTCCTCAAAGGGGAGGTGGACCTGATGCTTTGGCACGTTCATCGCAACCGTCCATTCGACAACTGTCTTGGTCATGGCCTCCAGTTGCTGACCGGATTTACCAGCCGATTGGTCGCAGTGGGCTCCCACTTGCACCTTGGTTGGTGCATCTTGGAGTGATGACGCTGGTACTGCATCGTTCATCACGCCAATCGTCGCCAGCACAGTCATGATGGGCTTCGACTTCAATAGTCGACATGCTGCAGTCCAGCTGGTCGCCGCTTCGAGGGGGGGCTGGGTCCCCAATGAGCACCGTCGACAAATCATCCCGGCTGACGTCGAGTTGGTTGGCCACAAAAGGCGCCGCCGGCTCACGCCAATCGTCGTCAGCGCCGTGATCTTGGGCTTCGTCTCCAATTCTCGACACGCTCCAGTCGAGCTCGTCGCCGCTTCGAGGAGAGGCTGGGTCCCCAATGAGCACCGTCGACAAATCATCCCAGCTGACGTCGACGTCGCCTTCGTCACCCTCAGGGATGACGGACAACATACTCGCTTCAGTTGCCACCTCTTCCGGCTGTCGACCTGTTGTAGCCAAGAGGGACTCTGGGTACTCGGCCATGGCCAGCTCCAACAGATCCGTGTCCACTACATGCCGTAGCTCGACAATGCATTCCTGCCTACAACGTTGCCATATATCCACACTGTCAGATCAGCTCTCCTTCGATGATAAGAAACCATCTATGGCTGCCAAGAATGTTCCAAATAGTTGCCACCATACCCATATTCACACAACAGACAGAGCGCCATCCGGCCGTGGGTTTGTACTGCAACATTGTGGTCTCGCAAGGTCTTGAGAATGAGTCGACGGAGCGGAATGTACACCTCGCGGCTCATGACATTGTCGACATCCCCATGACGAAGCACCAGCTCCGCCAGCGACAAGCACATCATGCACAAGGCATCGTCTAGTCAGGTGAGCTTAGGTACGTGGAAGGGCAAAGTGCACCACCGGTGTCAATGGACCTAGTAGTACTAGCAGTAGCAGTCGCACCTTGCTTGGCGTGGTGATACGTCTTCTCCAATATGACGATGGCGAACCGGCTGGCTTTGGCCATGCAATCCAGACAATGGCGCGCGGCCGTTGCGATCACTTTCGTCTGCTTCTTCTTGATCGCCATCAACAAGATCGGGACAAGCAGCGCTTCCACGACGCACGTAAACGACGCGCCGCACGCCCATGCTAGCGCGCCCAGCAGGCCACACGTTTGCTTCACGACTGCGGGCCTGTGGTCGGCCAACTCGACGCGGAACGCGTCCTGCAGATACGGAGATCACGTACGACTCAGTGAGGATACACGTAGATGGATGTATACCGTCATGCTAGTGATCTTCAGCACCGCTTTGGCAGGGACGACTGCGTCCCTCGATAGGTCGCCGGCGGCAGCTTCAAGTTGTTTCATGGACGCCAATCGTCTTGTCCAGTCCACCTTAGGGCTCCCAAGGCAGCCATAGATGGTTATCTTATCATCGAAGGATAGCTGATCTGACAGTGTGAATGGATGGCAACGTTGTAGGCAGGAATGCATTGCCGAGCTACGACATGTGGTGGACCCGAATCTGTTGGAGCTGGCCATGGCCGAGTACCCAGAGTCCCTCTTGGCTACAACAGGTCGACAGCCGGAAGAGGTCGCAACTGAAGCGAGCATGTTGTCCGTCATCCCAGAGGGTGACGAAGGCGACGTCGACGACAGCTGGGATCATTTGTCAACGGTGCTCATTGGGGACTCACCCCCCCCTCGAA